AGAAGATCTGGCAGGAAGACCGGGTTCCAGGTCTATCAAAAGACCCCCCCCCACCGCCCGACACACACCCCACGAGATGCCCCCCCTCCCCCAGCCATTCTCTGGTGGGTCAGACTTCCACAGACTGGATCTGGTTCATCTGAGCTCGCATCATTTGGACGCTGTTCAGGATCTTCTTCTGGTGTCCCGCTAGCGTCACCCCCACCCGCAGAATATCGCTGAGGAGAGAATTGTGCAAGAGTGAGTCCTTTTCGGCCAGGTGCCGACATTCACTGCTGACAAAGAATCCCATTGTGCTGAGCACTTGGATCGGACGCCAACCGTCAAGCCGCTGCATCAAGATTTAATAGCTTTGTTAGATTCCAAACTAATCTACAAACAATATCACTCTCACACTCAGATACATTGCACAACACCGTTATTAACAAACACATTTCCTTTGTTTGCACACACTACAATGTACCTCACTTATGAAAATATCATTAGTAACAATGAGGGAGGGACAATCTCCCAGTGTCAGAATGAAAAACATGTACAGGCTCAACAATAAGTATTTTGTCAGTAATAAGTTTGCAAAACAATTGTGGTAATGAACGTTTCCCCGCCTGTTGGTACATTGTCTAGCCAAAGTGTAACTCAAAACTTGTCAAAAGAGTGAGGGAGTGACAGTTGGTACTTTGTCTTCATTCTCGTTCGTAAATTTCCCTAAGAACTTACGGGGAATTTCGGCCCCGAAACGACACTGGCTTCTACTTGTCTATCTCCAGTTTCTCGACTCGCTGAGGTGACACTACATGAAAGTAGCCATCAACTGGCTGCACTTCCGCTCCCCAAAAATCCGACTCTCTTGCGCCATCAAAAGGTTTTTTTTAACATATTAACTCCAGGTCTACTGAGGTTTAACAAGAGAGCGGAAACAACGCTCTGGAAATGAATGACCGTTCCGAACGCAGCGCCACATGTATCCGGATTCTGTGAATCAATGTTTTAATGGAAAAAATTATAAAATGTTATTTTTATTACAATGACCTTTCACCTCCGGGCTGCTTCCAGCATAGAATGACACTGTTTCCCCTCACACTAAGCACTCTGCACTATGAAAAGGTAAAACCATAATCCAGATTAACAGTTCCCACGCTTTCTTCAACCAGCCCGCAGCCCACTCATATATTTGCTCTATTCAACCACCAGACAATCTGAAAAAATGTAATCAACTAATTTCAAAGCACATAATCTTCTGAATCAGGTTGTGCTGGATGTGAAATATAATAAAGATATGGAATGGCCGGGGGGCACTGAGAGGTTAGGGAACTGCTGATCCAGATGATATTGAAATTCTCCCTGGAAACTGTGTGAAGAAAAACTGGCTTTGATCCACACAGCAAAAATGCAACGATGGAAACGCCCATTGTAATATTTATATAAAGCGGAAAAAATTTGTGAAAACAGGGCTGGATTCCTACCACAGTAAATGTGGAGAATCAAAATTACCAAGATCCCCCAGATCTGTCCTTCAGTGGTGTCGTCCTAGATTTAGGTGTTTGGAAGAGACACTGAATTTGGCCCTGACAGATTTCCCCACATTGGGCGACACTTACTCCATGGTCATCCGCGAGACCACGTCGAAGGTGCTGAGGCTGGCACTGGCGAAATTCTCCTTGTACTGGCCCATCTTGATGGCATCCAGCCAATCGTCCACAGTGCTGAAACTGGAGAAGTCTGGCACACTGCGGTCCAGCAGGGGCAGGTGGACACTGGGGAGAGGGAGGAAGAGAGGGAGGAAGAGAGTAAGTGGCGAGACGGCAAAACACAGACGTGAGATGGGGGAACACAGATGAAACACAGCAGTGAAACAGAGGAAAACAGAGGTGAAACAGAGAAACACAGTGGTGAAACACAGCAGTGAAACAGAGAAACACAGAGGTGAAACACAGCAGTGAAACAGAGAAACACAGAGGTGAAACACAGGAGTGAAACAGAGGTGAAACAGAGGAACACAGTGGTGAAACACAGGAGTGAAACACAGGAGTGAGACAGAGGAACATAGAGGTGAAACAGAGGAACATAGAGGTGAAACAGAGGAAATCAGAGGTGAAACAGGAACACAGTCATGAAGCAGAGGAAGACAGTGGTGAAACAGTAAAATTACACTTCAGGCAGAGCAGATTTACAGATCAGAGAGAGAAAAGCAAGCTTGGGGACAAAACAGTTACAGCAAGGTGGGTCACAGGGCTGGTGACATATCAGGGAAAGAAAAAAATAGGTTTCTAGGAACAATTCCTGCTGGGGTTCAATAAAGTGTCCACCATGCAACATCATTCCATGAGCTACACAGGAGTTTTTTGTGTATCATTTTGTGTGCCATTGGGGGCCTCTCCAAGTCCAGAATAACAAGCAAACAAAAAGGCACATGAAATACAAATCAGGACATACTGCATACCAAAATAAGGACAACATCTGGTCTGATTATTCTGACATATATAACAGAGAATCAAAACCAACAGAGGCAAGACAGTGGATGAGGAGATATGAAGGCTTGAGGGCCCACATCTTGTAGTGTTTGCTAAAAAAAACAAAGTACAGGGAATGTTATTTTGTCTAAGTATACAGAATGTGGAATACTTATCACGTAGTCCCCTCTGACCACAAACACTGATTAGGTTAGGATGCTCAGGTCAGTTTCCTTCTCTTTGAGAGTAGATGGATTATATTAACAATCTCTACCGCTATCTGCAGCCTGTAGACACAGACAGAAGACATTCTGGAAAATGGCCTGTACTGTATATGGTTGCCAAAAGCTGACTTCGACTTGACGGCACCTAATAATCACAGCTAACTAAGTCCTGTTAAGGAACTTGACAAAAAAAAATGTTTCAGCTTCTCACAGTCGGTCTTCCTTGTCAAGGACAGGCTGACGGAAGAGAGTAGCACGTCATCTTTTACATAAAATAAACCACAGATTAAATGTAGATAAATGTGACAGCTCTTTCTTCTCTGGCCATCTCAGATGGCTGAAAAGGCACCATCATCATCTCCACAGTGTCCTTGACAGCTACCCACTAGATCATCATATGGCAAACTTTTGCATTTTTGTATGTGTTGTACCGTGTGATTATCTGTTTAATTAAAGGTAAGTTGAAGACATGCAGAGAGGCGCGTATGTGATTTCCACCGAGACACGTTCTTACGTTACTATCGCCGCACGTGAGCTGTCTTTCCTCTGCCTTTTCACAAAGATTGTCTACGTCTGCTTTAATTGTCAGCTCCATAAAAGCAAGCCATTAAAGCATTATCTTAAAAATCTGTATGTTTCATATGCACTGCATATTCACATGGACTCATCTTGGGAAGAAAGCTCACTTAACCTTGCACTGTTTTTGAATTTGTACAACTGCTTTGAATTATGACTGGCCCCCGGAGACCATCCAAGTCACCGATCTACTGGGACAAAAAAAAAAAAAAAAGAGTCCTATTTACATACCCTCTCGTTGCCAAAGGAAACATGAAACAAAATGTACGGCACAGATAAACTTTTAAAAATTACACTGCTATTTCAGCTAAGCATTGGACCTCACAGGAAAAACACAAATTAAGCTGGACGGTGACCACTTTTCCAGTCTGAGTATGTTTGCTGTAACGAGAAGCATACGTCCTTGAAACAAACAGCAGAAAATACACGCATCTACAAAGGACTGTTTGTTTTTTTCCACTTAAAGAAATGTGTGTTAATTGAGGCAGGCACAGGCCCTGAAAAGCGTCAACGGTACACTGTAAAAAATGTCTGTGAAATTAACAGAGAAATTCTGTAAAATAACGACATAAAAAACTGTAAAAGGAAAAACAATAGAGCAGCATATATTTGACATTAATATTTTGTAAAATACTTAACAAAAAACAACCGTTAATTTTTCAGTAAAAATATGTTTCGAAAAAATATTTTTTTGGTAGAGTTAAATTACTGTACTTTAAACGCATACAAACTGTAATATAAAAACCAATACAATATAGTTAAAATTACAACACAACGGTGTGAAAATAATATTTTTTGAATCACGTCAACTTTGTTTATATTGAAAGAAACCGTGTTACATTTTACAAATTAATATTCTGTGCTTTACAGATAAAACTTTAAGTGATATATCAACACTTGCTTTTTTTTTTAGGAGCAAAGAAATAGCCCACAGGATTTTCTGGTTTGTCAGGCAGCTTTTGAAATTGCAGTACATTCGGGGCTACCGTCAGAACTTCACCTCGTGGCAACACCTATGCTCAGTTGATAAGAAGGTATTTTTCCACTGGAGTGATAAAAAAAATACTGTAGCACCGGCCGGGATCATGTCCCAGCATGCCCTGCGTGCCCCGCGTGCAGTTGTAAATAGCGCTTGTATTTTTGTTGTTATTGTTAATGGTTATATTTCCTTATTGTTGTGCGTGTGTTTACCTGTGTCTTATGTGTACCCTGTCCGATCCTCGTATGTAATTAGCCTACGTAAATCTCTCACCGTGTATGCGTCTTACAGTTGAGCGTCTGACAACCTTGTGTTTCCTGTATATACAGTAACTGCTTCGGTGCTCATTGGGTGTCTGATGTAGGTCTTTTCAGGACTACTAATAAAGAGCATGTTTTCCCCGGCAAGCAAGTGCTGGTAGCTGTGGTCACCAGAATGATTTTGTAAGAAAAATACGGCAAAAAAGTAAACAGCTTTATAAAACACCCTGTCGATTTCACATACCAAAACTGTAACATTTTACATAGTGAATTTGTAGATTCAACATCTGCTTTCTGTTAATTCAGCAGGGCCATGCTGCTGTTGTACCAGTTATTTCAGCATAATTTACTAATCGTTGCTTATTCTACACTGAAACCAAGTAAACTTTACATGTAGTTGGTGGTTGTTTTACATTGAAATCCAGTAAAAATTACAAATGTTTCTGTAAAGTAGTTTACATAAGTATTTCTTACAGAATAATTCTGGTAACCACAGCTGCCAGCTTTTTTCCGTAAAAACAATGGAATTTTTTTTACGGTGTATGTAGAACAGCTATGTTATGGATTGGGCAGATAACAGTTACCTTAATGATAAAGTAAGTTGTAAGGATGCCATGGCAGCCCCCCTCCCCCAAAAAGACACTTGACTTTCCCCTCTGTGTGGGTCCATTACCTTTGTGTGCATGTGTGTGTGTGTGTATGTGTGCTGCCTGCTTTGCGGGAACCTCTCGATCACGGTGGGTGTCTCAGGATGTTATGTTATTCCCACAATGCCGTGCTGTCTCACCACAACGCTCATGCCCCTTCCACCCATGCCTTCCATCCCCGTGCTTTTTCTCGAAGGGGTACGTGATGGCACATCACTGGCACGGCCAGCCAAGAATATAATTTTAGCTGGGGGATGGGGGGGGCACAAGATATGCTTCAGCTGGTGACAGCCAAGCAAGCCTCTCCCAGACTGGGCATCATTTTATTAGAACTCCCAAGCTGTCGAACAACAGGCAAAACAATGATGCCACACCAGTCTAAGAAACAACATTACAAGAACAAAAAACTTCACGCTGTTGTATAATCTTACTATAGCTATCCACCAATGGGGAAGAATATGACCTAAGAATCACTTGTTCGGTACAGGTATTTAAATGATACCAATATCTGATACTCAGCTGCAGGGGTCTTGTGTGGGCTTGGCTCAGTTTCCCAAGAATTCATTCACTTCCAGCAGGAAGGTGGTAATTTACTGAGGCTCTGCACTGCATGCCCACCACAAACAAATTATGCAATTTTGCACTTGATGATTTATGCTTATAAAAGCATCCAGACAAATTACTCTACTGGAAGATGAAACCACCCTATTGTCTTCCCTTTTCTTCCATTCACTCCTACATGAGCTAGTGACACCCCCCCCGGGCCCCATGACACCCCCTGGGCCCCTACCTGGAGGACAGCGGCGTCGTGGCCTTCAGGCTGTTGGGGTTGCGAATCATCTTGTCCAACGTGTTGACGATCTGGCCAAATTTGGGCCGGTTGTTGCGGTCCTTCTGCCAGCAATCCAGCATGAGCTGGTGCAGCGCACTGGGGCAGTCCATTGGCGGGGGCAGTCGGTAGTCTTGCTCGATGGCATTGATCACCTGTAGGGGAACATACAGAAGCCTAGTGGTCTCTACCAGGGACTACAAGGGGGGTAAGGGGTAAGGAATTGGGAGAAACAGAGAAGATTCCCATTGGACAATATCAAGAACTGGCTACAGTATGTCCAAGTGCTTTAGGCTATCGTGAATGGTCATGCTGTGAACCTAGCACTGTGTCGCACAGACTCAGATCTCCCAAGTCCGCCGCCTGCGACGGCATGATGGTGCATCTCCTGGCCCTCCTATGGTTGGATGTGCCTCAGCATCTCCTCATGTTGACTGATTCAACTCTCTTTCAGATGCCTGATCTCTTTCAGATACCATAGTTTTGGTGTCACTCTCTCTCTTTCATCCACCCCCCAAAAATAATATCACTCGACCCCCTTTCTCATCCCTCATGGACACGGCAATCCAAGACTGTTGCCTGAAGATAAAGGGCATCTCATTGTGTGGGCCCTGGGTTTTGCAGTTATTGAAGAAAAATACAATATTATTTTGCTACTAAGCAACATTGGCAAGCAGGTGGAACTCAGTGTTGACTTAGCAATCTCATAAGCGAATGGAAAAAATGCATTTGGGAAAGCAAGGTGTGGCCAGATGCGGCTGGTGATACATCAGTCAAAGACTGCTCTGGATCTCCACACCGTGCCGCTAAAAGCTGGGTTTGCTGAGACCAGGCAACTGTGCTCTCACATTCATACCAGTTGATGTTCTCTGCTGAGAGCTACGATGTGGATCACACAGTGAGTCACAGGGGAGTCCGACAGAGCCGTGTAAATTAGTCAAGACAATTTGTTCAATTCAGGTCCAGAAAGCAAAAATCCAGACCTAGATTTTGTTTCAACCAACCAGTCACTCAACTAGTTAGTTAGGTGAAACAAAATCTTGGTCTTGATTTTTGCTTTCTGGACCTGAACTATCCACCTCTGTTCAATTCCTTACTTTGCATATAGAACATCTTAAATAACCATACAAAAGTCTGGTCCTGTACTTTGCAAATATTTAGAAAACTATTCAGAAAAACAGTAAGAGAACAATCCTGTGAGGCAGTTTAAAAACAAAGATGTACATCCGTGGCTGCAAAACCATATGGGAAGTCAACCGGCTACTCCGCTAACACGCTATGCTAACGGCTCCCCAGATGTCTGTTCTAACACGGGCCGCTGGCTGCCTCGTCCAGCCTCTCTGTGCTTTTTGGCGAGCAGAAGGTGATCATGGCACGGGTGCCGGAGATTATTCCGTACCAGCCGTGCCTGAGCTCCGGATGAGAATGCGCACAAATTAGAGACGCTAGCATGTATGAGTCCCCTTAGCATTACTGTTACTGTTTCTATAGCTGCACCTCTTTCACTCGTGCTGTTGTCTTTCGGCCCAGTCCATGAAAAAAGATCTCTGATTGAGGGCGGGAGCGTTCTACTGGGAGGGGCAAACGTTCCTGTTGACAAATGGAGGTCTGCAACCCTCCATTTCAGAGTGAAAAAGCACGCCATGGCTACGTGCAGTGTCTATACACCCCGCGAGCTGAGGGGGGGTTAGGGTCGGCTACAAAGTTACAGGAATGTGTTTGTCTTGGGGGAAAAAAAGCACAGATTTTTAGCGGGGGTGGAGGCAAGTGATGATGAAGCAATATAAGAGGAAGCCCTTGGTTCCTCGAATCCACAGAATTCACATACGAAATTCCATACATTTAACGAACCTGGGAAGGAGAGCCTGGAGGCAGGATTGAGGTAACATGGGTAGGGAACATAAATACTTTCAATAAATAGTTATGAAAACTCAGTATGAAGAGAAAGAAGCATCAAAGTATGATTTACAACCGGCTTTCATAGGTGTGTTTTTCATTAGGAGGCATGAATGGTAATCCTGCCATAAATAAAATGTAGCCAATGGCAAGCCTTGCATTAGAAGGGCCAGGGGAATGATTTACAGGACCCTTGTAATTAGCACATGAGGAGGAATGGGCGGGGATTAAAGCCCAGGGAGGCTTCCCATTGGAAGTTGGCTTGCCTGGATCTCCAAATACATATGTGTGGGCCTTTATTACAGAGAGTCTGCCTGCCCGTAACTCTAAGAATCCCCCAACTTTGCCTTGTGTAGCAGTTAAGAACTCCACATGGTCTTAACGACCTGGGGGGGACCCTGCTCTTTGCACTTTTCTTTTGCCCATGAGAAAGTATTTAAATTTAAAAATCCCTAAATAGGAACATAGGAACACCCAGCTGCGTAAATGTGAACTGTAAGCATGTGTAAATCACTTTCAATATCATCATCTGCTAGACAACTGAAAATAATGAATATAATATTACAGACACTGCTTTTCATTCACGTCCCAGAGCAGACCACTCCCCAACTGGCCCCAGATCGTTTCCTCCCAGTACCATTTTTTCTACCTTGCTTTGAATGGCGGCTTGTTTTACAAAAAACGTTTACACTTGTGGCTTCGGTGGAAGGCAAAGCAAGCGCACCTGAAGTACCCTAAAACTTTACACTCTTCGGTTCAGAGATCTTAGTTCCACTGTAGTAATTTAGGCGAAGTCCTTTTTTTTTTTTTTTTTTTTAATCATGTCGAGCTGAAGAATTCAGTTCTGGACAATACCTGTGGTACTGGACTCCATCACTCTAAGCCTCACACGCCAAGCTGACTGCAACCGGAGCGTCAAACCCTCTGGAGAGACTGACAAAGAGTGAGCAGCCCAATCTGAGGCCTCTTCCATCCTCAAAGGCACCTGCCTGGTGTACTATCAGCAGAGGAGAGATCTACGCTGGTCTCATGGGCGTGTACCTTCATCTTAGACCTTATTCACCACTGCACTCACCCGAGCCAGAAAAATGCCCCCTGTTGTTGTTTCAAGGAACCAACCCCCAACCCCCCTACTATCCAAATCCAATGGCCTTTCTGGACTTGGCAAACACTTAGCGGAGAAGTGCGTGCGGCTTGCTTTGATCAGCAATGGCAAGCAGGGAGCTCTTGAGATGCTTTAAGTGTTAGCACAGGCTGTTTCCTTCAGAAAGAAACACACTCCGCTGGAAACGCGAGCCGGGGGCTGCAGCCGGGCACTGGCTGAACCGCCGATCTACATCAGCGTGTTTTTCTTCCTTAAGTACACCCTCCCTTCTAAGCCAGCAAATCCGATGCAAATCCAGAATGGCAAAGTCACTCATGCTGCACTGTTATGCTTAAGCCTAAGTTCTCAAAAAGTCAGAAATGTTTTTCTTGAGACTACCTTTGCAGAAGGCGGCCATCGAGAAACCTAACCACTAGGGGGAGACTCTCTCCAGGAGGGAAATCAGTTGCAGTGCATTTGTAAACAATAAAATAAACCTGGAGACAGAACATAAAAAAAGCATGGAATTCTGAATGAGACTTATAGAGGACAAAATACTTCCAGCATTAAGTACTCACGTCCTGATTGGTCATGTCCCAGTAAGGCCGCTCCCCGTATGACATCACTTCCCACATGACGATGCCGTAGCTCCAGACATCACTGGCTGATGTGAACTTCCTGTACTGGATTGCTTCAGGTGCAGTCCATCGAATAGGGATCTTCCCCCCCTAGGAATGAGAAAGGAAGCATATTTAAGTAAAATAGGATAAGAAGTAGCACTAACTCCTAATGTTTCATGCGTGATATGAGGCACGAGCAGCTCGGGGAACCATCCTTGGTGTGTAGTCACAGTACAAGTGATACAGTCCATTCCCTAAAATGTGAAGGGCAACCTGTGACAGCATGAGAACACATGTATGACGACCAAGAGAAATGAGATTCCGCACAGGTATGATGGTCTACATGTTTAGTCTTATCCAAAGTCAGTTGCTATTGTTAAGCACTTTACAGACTTGTAAATCAAATGAAAAAGAGCACTGAACATACACGTCATTTGCACATTTCACGCAATTGAGAAGGTACAGCCATTTCTAACATACTATACAATGCTGATGATGTGCATGCTCACCAGGGCGCTGGTGTAGGTGGGGTCTGAAGTGTCATCCTCCAAAAAGCGGGACAGGCCGAAATCGGACACCTTGCACACCAGGTTGCTGTTGACCAGGATGTTGCGGGCGGCCAGGTCCCGGTGAACGTAATTCATATCAGACAGGTACTTCATGCCCGAGGCGATGCCCCGCAACATGCCCACCAGCTGGATCACCGTGAACTGCCCATCGTTTTGCTGGAGGAAAGCAAAGCCACCATGTTAGCTTTCTCAGTTTGCTGTTATTTTGGAAGTATCTGCAAATAACATATTAACATTCCTGGGCTGTATGCAGTTCTGTCAGTATTTGGTAGAACATTGGAATTCCTGGGCTGTTTGTAGTTCTGTTAGAAGCTGCAAATAGTATGTTAGCATTCCTGGGCTGTTTACAATTCTGTCAGTTGCTGAGAATAGCGTGTTAACATTCCTCAATTCCTGGGTTGTTTACAACTCTGTCAGTTGCTGCAAATAGAATGTTAGCATTCCTGAGCTGTTTGCAGCACTGTCGGTTGCTGTGAATACTGTGTTGGCATTCATGAGTTGTTCAAAATATCTGTCCGTATCTGTGAGTAGCATGCTAGCATTCCTGTACTGCTAGTAGCTATGCAACTATCTGTGAGTAGCATGCTAGCATTCCTGTGCTGCTAGTAGCTCTGTCACTATATGTGAGTAGCATGCTAGCATTCCTGTGCTGCTAGTAGCTATGTAACTATCTGTGAGTAGCATGCTAGCATTCGTGTACTGCTAATAACTATGTAACTATCTGTGAGTAGCATGCTAGCATTCGTGTGCTGCTAGTAGCTCTGTCAGTATCTCTGAATAGCACGATAGCATTACAGGAGTGTCCTACTACTGACAGTAGTAACTGCAATTTCCATTAGCATTCCTGGTATGTCTCGACTGCCATCAGTAGCTGTGAATAGCATGCTTCCATTTCTGAGATGCTCCAACCACTGTCGATTTGAATAAGTAGCATGTCAACTTTCCTGGGCTCCTTCTGCCGACTTCCAGTGACGTCTACCTGAGTCCTTCCCCTGTATTCCCCGACCCTCATCCGGACGCCAGGAGCTACGGCTACGCCAAACCTTGGCTCTTTCTGCCATAATCACACTCAGTGCAGTGGTACACAAAGCCGTACGCGATTCAGCCATTCTCCCTGCCTCCCTGTCTCGCATCCCCCCCACCCCCCCACCCCAAAGAGCACCCTCATTAACAGGCGAAGCAGTTTCGCACCATGTCGTCTAGCTCACTGTCCTCCGTCCCCAATCGCGATCTGCCGCAAAAAAACTCCATCCATTATTCATGATGCTCAAACATCCCCCCCCCCCACACACAAATACACTCCAGGAACTGGAGACAAAAAAACCTAGCCAATTATTGTTCAGAAAATGCAGGCTCACGCTTTTGCTGATGTGGGTTTCAGCCAATCGCGAGGCATCGTTGAGGCTCCATGCCATGGTCACCATATATTGCCAGGACCAGGGGCTTAGCTTAATTACCACTCTGCCACTTATTTCACACACTAAGCCTATTACTATTTGATGAAGCTGTTTTTTGCTCCCCCCATCTCACCCTGCGTTCCATGCCTCACGTTGTTCTGTCGGCCTCGATCAATCCGCTCCCCCGCTTGCTACGTGCAGACACAGCAGAACCGGCTGCCCGTTACTCCATAGGTCGTGAGGAGTTTACACTCGCTCTATGTTTTCCCGCCACTTTTTCTTTGCTTTCTTTACCCGCCACAAGTGTGGGGAAGCCGGAATGACACAGAGCTGAAACGGAACCTTCCACAAGGCTGAAGTGGAAGGAAAACAAATCTCTCACTCTCCAACATCAGTAAAAGGAAAATGCTGACAGGAATGTGTGTGTGTGTCTCTGTGTTTTTCCTTCCAAGTGCTCAATTTTTTCCTGTCTTTGTTTAATTTTATCCCAGCAGGAAACTATATATTTTCGACTTCAGGTTTTACCATATGTTTTATCATCTATCACCGTGTCTGAAACTCTCTAAAACCTTGCGGCACACAACCCATGGAGACGGACACCATGAAGCTTTAAAGAGAACCGACAATATTCGAGGTCTCCAGCCGGGAGAGACAGCCATCTGCTAGGCTAGTGGGCAAATCGCTCTGGACGCCTTTGACACAGATCAGGGCATTAACACTGGCAAACAGCTACAGAGAAGTCAAGGGAATGGAAGTGGATTTTCCAACCTTCACACTTTTTCTCACTGGATTAAACTCCCCCTCAACAAATCATACAGACAGTAAAACCGCTTATTCCTCTGATGACGCCTTCTCTGCTCTCTGTCAGAGGATATTACATTAGCACTCTGGAACATATCCATCTGATCACAGGACCACTGACTATTTGCACAGACAAGGAACAAAAAAGCATGTTTAATTCGCCAGTGGGAAAAAAAAAACAAAATTCAGTCTACATTTGTCAGGATGACATACGAAATGACAGGCAATTGAGAATAAAGGTATTGTTTATGGTGGGTTTATCATTCACAGAGCTGTGACACACTGCTGTGAAACATGGATTTTTCTTAAAATATCTTTTTTTTCCTTCCAAAAAAATATTGATGTCTTGGGGAACACAGTTTCTCTGATCAAAACAAAACTGATGGGGGGGGGGGGAGAGAATCCATTGTTATTCAAGACCAGGCGTTTCAGAAATTTCAATAAAAAATGGCTTTTCTTTTGCACTTCAAAAGTGCAGTGAAGCCAATTAATGGCAATGACTCCACGAAGGTCCCCTCCTATTAAAAATTTCCTGCTATTAAAATTCCACTGTCACACTGCAGTTTCATTTATGGAGGAATGTAAATATTACTGGCACCTCTGACTTTCGGGGAGGCTAATTTTTTTTCCATGTGTAATAATTTGAAACTGAACGAAGTAAGGAAAATGGAGGGAGGTGGAAACGTGAGGGGGGAGGCGGCTTGGTGGGGGCCTACAGTATCTGCCAGTTGCTGGCATGTCATCGTGGACGTCATGAATAATACATGAGATTATGATGCATTAACATAATGAATAAACTGAAAAATGTGCACCTGTGACATCATGCAAAAGCATACATCTTTAATGGTTCCTAATCCTTGTCTCTGTGCATCGCATGATAATGCATGCCATACACGGGACAGGTTAAGGGCTCATGCCCCCCCTCCGCAGGGCCTGTTTATGCATCGGAATCACGTTTTAGTTTTTTTTCTAGCTGTCCTCAGTGTCTTTCACGGTGTAAAGGGCCTTTAGCTGCAGTGCAGCTCAGAAACTGCCTGCAGAAGAAAAAAAAAACTAAAGAAACCTATTAAATATTCTGCTGCGTGATTATTGATCATCTTCATGGTGGTTATGGTAGTTCTTCGCGAGGTAGAATGATGTGCTTTTGTATATGGAGCACCTGACAATGCCTGCACTTCATATCTAAAGGGAGAAATTAATCTGGAAGTTGCCAAATCAACTCTGGAGAGAAATCAGGAATCATGTCCGTGGACTGGTTTAGCTACCTTTCCAGGACAAATTGTGTGAGGTGACAAGATGACAAACTGTGGAAAATGACATCCTGATGAGATAGATGCTTCATTTTACTTTTGAATTTGTATAATCAATCATTTTAGTGATAAAATGCAAAACGAGTTTGTTATCAGTTTTCATCTGGTCCTGAGCTTTGGGGTTTGGGGTCAGAGAGTGTGGACCTGTAATGAAGAAGGAAAGCAGAGAGAGACAGGACTATGGGAGAGCTGGAGTCTGTCCATTTCAGGGGGGGGGCACAGTAAGCGATACCTCTAAAGCAGTTTTCAGTCTGGGGTCCGGAGAGCCGCGGGAGGGAGTCCACAGAGATGTAAATTGACGGAATGTTGGTATTTCACACATCGTGAAAAACATTCACGTTCATGCCCCCCCCCCCATCAGAGTAAGGAATAGTCATGTCAGTAATGCCCCACCAACCCTGTATGGGGTCCCTAGTTCTGGTCTGTTTTCATTTGGTGGTGCCTGGTTTAAGAATTCCCACTTTAATGCAAAACTCAGCATCAACAAAGTAATACTCTACTAAGGATAGTGCTGAAAATGTAAAGATGTGCATTTATTAATGCAGTATGGTAACAGGCTCGGGCAAAACTTACAGTGGAGGCCTTAGCTTAGAGAGGAGTCCAGCAACGGACAAAATCCAACACTGAAGTTGAAGCAGGCTACCTACTAAGTAGTGATGGCTAAATGAAGCTTCATGAACCATTTGCTGTATTTTCTGAACCCACTAGATGGTGCTCTCTGAGTGAATCTCAATATGAGTACGAAAATACTGTTTTATGTCATCTTCCATTGCTGAAGACCAGTTCCAAAACTAAGGACACAAGTACACGAGTACAATAAAAATCCCTAGATGGTGGTCTTGCCAAGACCACAAGTACGGTCTTTGCATTCTTGGTTTTGAGATTCACCCTTTGTTTAAAAAAGGGATCAAAGCATGTCCCAAAGCAAACCAAGAGCACCATCTAGTGGGATGAAAAAAATACAGCAAATGGTTCATGAAACTTTCATTACAACTACTAATTCATGGTGTGACCATGATGCACTGGGGTTTCTCAAAGTTACAAAGTAAATAAGATGGAGCAGAAGAATAGCCCAGCCCACTCACCCTGAGGAAGGAGTCCAGCGAGCCATTCTCCATGAACTCTGTGATAATCATGACTGGGCTACTCTTGGTGACCACACCTTCCAGGCGGATGACATTGGGGTGGTCGAACTGGCCCATGATGCTGGCCTCACTCAGGAAGTCACGGCGCTGCTTCTCCGTGTAGCCCGACTTCAGGGTCTTGATTGCCACCACCATCTCCCTCTTGTTCGGCATCTTCAGATTCCCACTGCAGACCTCTCCAAACTCCCCTTGGAAAGACAGAGTTGCCAACTTTGGTCAGCTGGTTCAAGTGAGATTTTCATTTTGAGACAAGTCTGCACACACATTTACATGTACGTAACAGTTTTATTACCTTGTAAATAGTCTGTAGGGTTTGCAAACTACCCCCAATGCTTTTGATGTAACTAATTTTAGGTTTGTAATGGAATTTGCCTTAAGATTTCTTATGTGAGTGTGAGAGACTGAATGTGTGTCACACCAGATGCATGAGTTGGTGACCCTGGAAAGACGTGCCAGACCAAGATGCCTTTACTCCAACCTGCTGATGGCATGGTTAGGTTGCTGTGACTGTGTGCTGCTGCAACTCAAACCAACATCTCTCTCTCTCCCACAAATTATTTCAGAGCTTTGGAATTCATTATCCTAGTGTCTCATCTTCCTAATTTGTGAACTTCATCTCCTCCATCAATGGCATTTATGTCCCAGTAAGAAAACTGAATAATACTAATTAGTTTGTCATGATAATATATTTGCAAAACTATTGCTAATTGTTTAAGTCCATTTCTGATGTTGGGACTACACTTGACTGGGTGTCCGATTACCTGCTCCAATAACTTGCTCAATCTTCACGCAGGATATATCAATTTCCTTGGCAAACTCTCTCACGGCTTCGTTGGGGTCTTCATATGTAAACGGATCTATATAGATCTTCATTCCTGGAGTCACTTGGAAAAAGGACAAGCAGCTACAATACAGGCAATTCCTCAAATAGGAAACAATGCAAGGAATGGAGATGAAGGAAGAGAATGACATCAGGGAAGTTGTGCAATTTTCTGTTGAGGCTCTGTGTGTTTGAACTTTGCTTTTACCCAACACAAAAGCTGAACCGAATTCAGAAATTATCTGCTGCGACTCACTGAGCCAGCAACAACTACTACTTCAGATGAACCGTGGAAATGTGTGGGGCTTTGCTGAGGTGCATTATGGGAAAGATGAAACCCTGATATTACTGACATGGTCCAAGGTAAAGCACACCTAAGAGTCAGGATTAAAATGCTGCAGCTGCCGGTGACGGACAGATAAGCAGCCTTGGGTGAGCTTACTGCACTTGCTTGCTAAACGGCCCAGGCATGGTAAGCTTACCGTGTGAGTCTCTGCCAGAGAGAGGGAGTTCAGACAGTGGGAGAAGAGTTTTTAGCGGCTTAGAACACTGCCCTTATCACACTGGTCTGAGAAATAAATTGTTTCCCTTAAGTCTGGCAGACAAGTAAATTGACTTAGGGTGAGTTTTGGAAGAACTAGGGAACAGCTGGTCTCAGGTCCAAGTCTTTGGCCTCTACATGCAGTATATGAGTACAAACGTATCTGAGCGACAGTTGGCCTCTGTGGTCAGGTCCAGCAGACCCACGATTAACAGAGAAGACATTGAGAAAAGAAACAAGCAAACAAGCCTATGAGTCAAATGCCTCGACCAACGTTGTTGAAAAGAAGCTTCCCGAACCCAGTTACAGATCTACCTAAGTGACAAGCTCTCCGCTCAGCGGGTTCCCCTCCCGTTTTTTTGTCGCCGCTCATGAATATTCATAAGCAGGGGTGGTCTGGGGTGCATCTTCGCCCCAGATGATTGGCAGACATGGAGATTCACACTGGTCCATAACAATAATCAAGATGATACACAAAGAGAAACAAGTGACAGTTTCTGCTGCTAGTGAATATGTATAAGCACCGTTTCTCCCTGGGCAGATATGCTGAGGTTCAGTCTGGGGACAGGAGTTGCCATGCAGAGCGTTAACCGCTTGTTCAGCATGTTATTCCTATTTAGGGAGCAACTCTGGCATCGCTGTTCCCCTAGAGATGCCCTGGTGACAGGACTTGAGAAGCACTATCCTCAAGGGCGGCAACTGAACTCAACTGGTAGCGTCTGCATGACCCGGGAAATGGGCTACGATCCAGAGCCACAGACTGTGTGGCCAAGAAGCAGCAACGCTGTGGGATTAAACCGGGGTGGCAGGATGGGGGGGGGTTGTACCACTGCCGAGGCGCTATGCTGTTTGTACTCAAGCAGAAACGAGTTCTGTAAATACTGCATTTGGCGCAACCTGATCCTATTGATTATGCATAGAGGATTCTGTCTAAACTGATAACTAAGGTCGAGGGGGGTGGGGGGTAGACCATGTCCCTGCATTAATATTTGAGCTGAGGGAATTGGGGGTTGGGGTGCGATTACCCTTAAGCTCAAAGCAGAAATGGAGCTGTGCTGGATTTAAATTAGAATCCCAGTCATCCCCATAGATGTGAGACTACTCTAATCTGTAAATATCTGTTAACAAAATTATTTAGAACCTGGATTTGTGTTTTCTGGTGCTTAAAAAAATGTTTTCTAGGGCTGGGGCACATAATTTGAAAGAGAGTGTGATGAATGATACTTAAAATTAAACATTTTTTTTTTGCAGGAAAGAGCCAGTAGGAGAGGAGATTCATGGAGGGGGTGTGGCAAAAAGAAATGGGGCGGGGTCTACATAGGAAAACATATTTTTTGTCGAAGAGGCGTGTGGATGTTACTCACTGTGGCCACTGGTATAGTGCTGTAGCTTGTCTGTGTATTCCGAGTCTGTCCTCTCAAAGCCCCTCCTCCTGGGTAAAATACAAATAGCTATAACGGTGGCCTGGGGGGGGGGGGGGGGGGGGGGGGGGGCGGGTAATACATCATGATGCCTGGTGTCGCCACGGAGAAAAGGGTGGGAACAGGAATGACTCACCGATTGCAGACGATGACGATGACCACCACGGCAATGAGGAAGACGAGGCCGGCCGCAGCCGAGCCGATGATGAGCGGCAGTTTCTCTTGCATGCTGGTGTTATATTCGTCTACAAACAAAAAATGATAATAAGTGTAAGATTGCTAATTGTTTAACTGTGCTGCCCGGCCCTTTTGCTGGCAGAGGCCTTACTAATGTTATCTGCTTCCTGTAGAGAGCAGGAGGGAGGCTGCTATCAAGCTAATTCTGTCCCTAAGCGATGCTAGTAATGGGATATTTAGGGAGAATTTCAATGGGCTTGCTAGTCTTGACGGTAGTGCTCCTTGTAAGTGTAGTATGGACCCATATGTGTCCCTCTGGACTGGATGAATGTCCTGGATTTTCAGCTCTGCTGGCTGGACAGGGTACACTAAGTGGTCTATGGGGAGAGGATGCAAGTGAATTCAGACAGCAGATTAATCATATCCACAACTGTAGGTCAGTAAGCATAACAGCATGAGGCCAGGGCCAGTAACCCAATGATCACAGATTCAAATCCCACAAGAGGTCAACCTTTGCACCTCTTAGGTGGTATTTTGGTATCTTCTCAAAGCCCTAAACCCCAACAGGGTATGTGGAGGTATGAACCACTGAGCTCACCTGTTAAGTTCACCATGTAACAGGATGCTAAACAGGAGAACCACAAAGATCCTTCCGGGAAAACCTTAAGCATCAAAAAGCTTTATGTAAAAGTGATTAGGCCCTCATAGCTAGCACCTGCCCCTTAGAAACACAATGACAACAGGTGATTTTGAAATGCAGAAAGTTGATGTTAAGTCATCTTAGAAGGACCAAGTTGCAAAAACTTAATATTCGTCGAGCTAAAATCAGTAGTTCTTTTGAGAAATTAAAAAGGAGATCAAATGGGCGGGCAGACGGAATCCGTCACAGGCAATGCCCTCTAAACCTGGCACCGAGGAGCTGATGTGTATCAGACTGATTGCGGTTTGTAGAAAACTGGAGCACTATGGAAACAAGCCTGACCTACTTTACGGCAGGATCAGTACTACTGTCATGCAGCATCTTCAGTTTTTTAAAAATCAAACAAATTGACAGTCCAGGGCAAAGTCCATCACAGGGTGAACCTTCACCACCTCTCCTCACCCACCTTCGGTCATGGTCTGGAAGTACATCTTCCCACTGTAGCGGCCAAAGCCTGCCACAGTCCTGGCCCGTACTTGGAACACGTAGATGGCTCCGGGTTTGAGGCCCCGTATGACTGCTGTGTTGGTCTGGCTCTTCACGGTGGACGAGTTGTACTCTGACTGATCCTGGAGATCCAGCACAGAAGATCAGATGAATATGAGCATGTCATTTAGGGACAGCTCAGTCTGGACTAAAGGTACAATCGTCTCATCGTCTTCTACTCTGGTTGTGTACCCAAGTTGGGTGAATGTTTTTGTTTCTTTTTGTTTTCTTAAAGAGGAGCCTGGGTTGGGAATAAGTGGAATCTTCCTTTTATCCATCCATCCATCCATCCATCCATCCATCCATCCATCCATTTTCTGTAACCACTTATCCTGTTCAGGGTTCCAGGGGTCTGGAGCCTATCCCAGACGTAACCGGCAGAAGGCAGGGAACAGCCCAAGATGGGGCACTAACCTAAGAAGTTATCTTGACAGAGATAATATTATTCCTACTGTAATCAATACATTTTACATTTTCTATTAGCACACAGGTATAATGACCCCCCCCCCCCCCCACAGCCTGATTCCCGCTGTGTCCTGGTGACTAGTCCTTGGTCAAAGCTGTCACTTTATCATGTTTAAGTCCCACACACCAGGCAGTGAAGTGACCCCCTGTCCCCATTTCCAGCACTCCCCATTTCTGCTCCCCACATTCAACACTCCCCATTTCTGCTCCCTTACCTTCTCATAGTACTGCAGCTCATAGTCCAGTATGACCCCATTGGGGTGGTCCGGCTGGGACCAGGAGAGCGTGATGCTGTCCACGGTGCGGCTCACCTGGTGAATGATGGACACCGCTGAAGGCGCTACAGAGACAGAAAGAAGGCGGGACAGAAGAGTCAGGTGACAGGGTGGGTGGAGTTAAGCTAGGACCCACCCATAGGCACATGCTGCTGACGATTCAGATCCTACACATTAGCGAATTACGTCAGTCTCAAAACACATTCAAGCATCAATATTACTACATTTTGTTCTGGATTCTGCTGGAACATGTTCTGAGATCTATCTGCGTGGATCTGGCGGATTTGGTTAAAAAAATAAAACCATTAACATAATAACATAAAATAAAACAGGTGTATATGTTCATTTCCAGACCAATTTGCACACAATTTCACATCGTTTATTAGTTTACATTTATTCTCAAAGATACACAGCATGTTTTCAGCACTGTGTTTTGTCACATGTCCCGGGACTGGCGCTCTCAAATGGCCTTCGGCTTCTGGCACTTTCCAATTAACAAATAAAGTTCTGACTATAGCCTCATATTGGTCAGCCATAATTTCAATTGCAAAATTCAAATACTCATTTTGTACACACTCACACATGGGTGAATCTTTATGGGAACTTCCCTTCCTGACCGCCGTCCACCTATAAAACACTCCTAATTCCTAAATCTGCAAACCGGCATGACCCAGGCCAGCAGTGCGCCCAGCCGGGGATGCGGACAGCACTGGGCACAGCCTAAACTGGAGAGTCACGGCATCGCTCAGGATCGGCGGGGGCGGGGGCGGGGGCCCCCTCTGCAGCAGGCTCCATGTGCCCGACCTTCGCCCCACTTCTGCCCGCGTCCACTAATTTGAAAGGAAGTGGTACAAATTTGTGGCGCGAGCTCATTTCTGGATGCAAATAAACGGCAGAACAATTTGCCCGAACCACAAATATGTCGCACACAATTAACCATTTTTTTTCCCCCTCAGCATTTGGGTTTCATGTCTGCGGTGCGCATTCGGAACAATTTTTGGTCACGGGCGGATCACAGCCCTCTGTACAGTTTTGGGGGGGGGGCAGCATAAAGGGATGATGGAGGAGAAGGAGCCCAAATTCGAAGGGTGGGAGAGCGCAATGCGGACGGAGGTGAGAAGTCAAAAGCAGCACTAATGCCACTGCTCCAGGACAGCCCGCAGTGAGGAGAGACCAGCCTGCAGTGAGGAGACCAGCCTGCAGTGGGGAGAGACCAGACTGCAGCGAGGAGAGACCAGCCTGCAGCGAGGAGAGACCAGCCTGCAGTGAGGAGAGACCAGCCTGCAGCGAGGAGAGACCAGCCTGCAGCGAGGAGAGGCCTGCCTGCAGCGAGGAGAGACCAGCCTGCAGCGAGGAGAGGCCAGCCTATGAAGAAGCCAGCAGCTATACAAATAGATCACCATTTATCATGGGCTTATGGTACGTGACAGCAGCCCATTAAAGTCTGGGAGCTGGGGACATGTGTGTGGGGGGGAATGAATGATAAATGGAGTAATTAGCCAATGCTGATATGGAGGATATGAAGGAAAAGGCAGGGGGTAAAGGTGTAGACTGAACAGTAATTAACAGATTGCTGATAAAATCAATATTCCAAATATTACAACACATGCTCTTTATACTATATATATAGTTCAGGCAGTGCAGCCCAACAGAAACTCACTACAGTGTATGAGGATCTCTCTGTTTCACACGCATGCCTCACTAGTCTCCACGGGTAACCCCCGCCGGGCTAAAGATATGTGACACCCACCAATCCGGGACTGCGGAGCTCCACCCCTCCCCCCAGCCAGTCCAATGGGCGGAGCTATGAGACTGAGACCACGCCCAAATCCTGCGCCAGTCGGCCAGGGCTCCCTGCTGCACTGCCGCCACGCCACGCGACCAGTGCGGGGCGCCTCGGCGTCTGCCACCACTGATCATATCAATTCCCACTCGACGTTGCGCAACTCGACGGCTTTAGTGCCGCCCCCGCGCAGGCAACCCCCGTTTCAGTGTGGTGGCAATAATCGCGACTAATAAGATCTTTTACGCAGTCGCACCTTTCCGCACAATTGCCCTTTTACGGTTCACTGGCAGTGAGCGTTTTCTGCTACGACTCCGCCTCACCACCCCGGACCCAAGCCTGCTTGTTTACCAGGGCCCCGCATCTGAGCCCAGATGCCACGTGGCGCTGCCTGCAGGTAAATCCTGCCCGTGCGCCAGCAGAGGGAGGGAGGAGGTGAATGCAAAGTGATCCAGAGCACCGTGGCCAGGAAAAACCGCCAAGAGTCTTAAGCGTCGTCGAGGGAGGAAGGATTATACCTCCCTCTCCCCCGATTATTCCTGCTTTGCTCTCATTCCGTCAAATTCGAACTCTAGACCTGTAACGCTGGCACTAAGAACACTGATTCAATTCATATACATAAAATGTATGCATGCCTTTGAATAAATTGGAAGCATAAGTACTACACAGAAATGGGATATTGAATGAATCGCTTTCTGGCACCGTGCCTCCATAGCGAATAAAGATGATGACGAAGCACAGTAAATAAACAATATTACGGCAATAAAACTTGAACACGATCATATAATTCGACCATAAATGTCTCCGTGATGCTAGGCACGGTGGCCCCCACACACGCGCACACACACGCACACAAACACGCACACACGCTCTGGCGTTCATTAGCATATGGAGGGCGGACAGCCAAGATATGATGGGATGAGAGCCGATCCTTTTCATTACAGGGAGGGGTTCAAACTGCCGTCAGCGTGCCCCTGCGGAGCTGAAAGGATGGAAATGACAGGGTATGAAGGGGGCGTGCTTGTGTGTGTGAGGGAGACTGTTCCCTAAAACAAGAGAGGACAGGGACGAGCATGGGGGCACGGATGACTCGTGCCTTGACTGTAATGGCTGCCGCTACGGCCAGCTGATCAGCGGATGCCGCTGTACCCTCCACAGCCGACCTTGCGTGACACTTGGCCACAAGGCGAAACACAGACCTGCTATAAAGAAGGAGTGAGATCTTTCCTCTGTCCAGCGACTTCAGTGATCGATGATGGCTGTGATTTACAATGTGAAATTCCTTTCCAGTCGATTAAACCCACCCCCCAACCCCATTTAGGGCCCCATCCAGGGATTGCCTCCCAGGCTCACAGACACTCCAAAGCAATTTCCGGAATTTTGCTCCATGCGTTTCAGAAGCTGGTTCGACGGGTAAATAAATGGGGCTCTATTGTCATCGGTCCTTTTAACGGGTTCCGCTACGCCTGGCCTCCAAGGGATCCTGGCCCCCCAAAGCCTGGCCAGGCCCAGCCCCCCCCCAACTCGTAGAGGGGCGTCTCTCGGCAACAGTGGATGACTTCATGAAGCGAACCCATTGAGTGGATTTTGACAGGCACCAGGCACGGCAGACCATGCCTGGCACATGCCCCCCCCCCCACCACAACCACATAGGAGGGGGCCAAACAGATCATAAATTCACCATGTCGTGGTTACAGGATAGGGGACTGTTCACCACAATGACCAAACCATGGCCTAAGTTGTGTGCCATGCGCCTATGAAAGCCACAGTGTGTCTCCCCTGTTCCTCCAGCAGCAACACCAGGAAGGTGTGAAAAAAGCAGCCATCACAGGACCCGATTTCCCAAGGGCTCTGAACCATAACAAGTACAGCATTATGCTAAAAACACAAAGGGTGTGGGTTCAAATCCCACAAAGAACACATAGGTTGAAACCCTTCCCTCTACTAACTAAAAGTTGCTTTTGGTAAAACTTTCAGAATAATGAATAAATGTGGCATGATCTTCGTGACGTCATCCTCAAATACTGGGATGTTCCCAGGCACCACTGGATCTGACTGGGATCCCTACTTTGGATTCTGGTGGAATCTTTTGATTGCATATCAGCCGCTTCTAACCAGAAGCTGGGGATGGTGCCTGACTGTTTGGGGAGGGGGGTATCTGCTTCTGAAACACATCCCACCATTTTGGAATGAGTATCTCCTCCCTCAAACACTCGCCATTCCTGGTTTCTGCGTGACGTCCCTAAAACAGGAGAGACCCGGCACACGCGTGTATTTTTCAGAACGGCAGAATGGAAAGCAGACTGGCAATTATCCCCGCTCTCCATCTGTAATGCATTTGAGAGTTTTCATGTCTCCAAAGACTTTCCATTACAGTAATGCAGCGCTGTGAGAATTCAGTTCGTCAGCCGCTAAACCATCTGTGGTGGAGGAGATCTGAGAATTAATGTAATCACACAAATGCCGTAAGCTGGCTCCAAAATAGGTACTTCAGAAGCTTAAAAAGTTCACAAAAGCTTACCGCGAAGTTTCTAATCTCAGCTGTGCTCGCAGCACCCGTAACGTGGAGTCTCGGAACGTCTGAAACCGATTGCGAAGTTATTCCGAATAAGCCGAGCCCTTTGATTTTTTTTTCACTCCATTGAAAGGTTAGGTGCCTCCATCGCCCGGTGCTTCCGAAAAAGTAGCTTCGCTGCGTGTGACCATTCCAGGGCAAACTCAGCAGTTCTGCCCCGCCATGGGGGGGGAGGGAATCTGGGGCTATGATGGGGTCTGTTGGGTTTTGGGGGTCTGGGCTGACAGCAAGGGGCAGAGGGCGTGCTGCGGCGTCAGCGGATCCGGCTTCTTGCACCCGGCACCGCCGGACATGCGGCTCCCGGCTGGACCGGCCCGGAGCAGATGGACAGAGCACAGTTCCCCGGGGCTATAGCATGCAGGCGCGGCCCAGGGGGACGCTGGTAAATGTGGCCCCCATCAGGAGACAGGCTCTGCCCTTTGGTGTGGGCAGATGCTCACCTTCGAGCCGAAACAAGAGGAAAGCAAGGGACTGGAGTTTACCTGACTGCAAAAGAAATCTGCAATCGTAAACAAAGAGCACCCCCCGGCATCCCCCCACCCCCATGATCTGACTCAGAGGCAGATGCACAGAAAAAGGATAATTTCAGACACAGCTGTGCATGCAGATCTGGGGGGTCAGGGGGGGTGGGGGGGGGGCATTACACCTGCTGGTCCCAGTACAGGGTGGATGTGGCCAGTCCTCGGAGATAAAAGTGGAGGTGAAGG